TAATAAATACTGTTACTTTATATTTAATAAATTAACTTTATATTTAATAAATACTGTTCTTTGATTGATTTAATAAATACTGTTACTTTATATTTAATAAATACAGTTCTTTGATTGATATAATAAATACTGTTACTTTATATTTAATAAATACTGTTTTTTGATTGATATAATAAATACTGTTACTTTATATTTAATAAATTAACTTTATATTTAATAAATACTGTTCTTTGATTGATATAATAAATACTGTTACTTTATATTTAATAAATTAACTTTATATTTAATAAATACTGTTCTTTGATATGCCGCCATAAAGAAAGATCTAGAGGCACGAGGTCTGGAGAGTTGGTGGCCAACATGCATCTTATCATCGCGGCCGATCCAACACGAATACGTTTGATTTAAAAACATTTTTAACCTCCCTCGTGTAATGTGGCGGTGCACCGTCATGTTGGAAAATCATACTCCTTATAGTAGCTAAGGGTACATCCTCTAACAACGAAGGCAATTCATTGCCTAGAAACTCAAAGATGAACAAACTTTAAAGTCGATTCTCTCGAAAACCGAGCCCCAGATAAAAAAATGTTATACCAAATTTTTTTTCTCATTTTTTGACGTAGAATCATCACCCCGACATGCTCGGTTGTACTACGAATTCCAGCCCACCTTTTACAAACGCTACGTTGCGAAAGAAAAAAGTTCCCATAAGCTCCTTCGCAGTTTCAAAATTTCTCAAACTTTTGGCTCAAAGTATTCATTTCTCTACGTTTTTCTACAACTACTTTTTGGAATCTTTATGGAATCTTCTATCTATCAAGTGTATTATGTGTAATGAATGTTTGTTTCCTAAAGTAATACCTACTTTCACGTCGAAAGTATTATTCGCGTGTTTCGTAAAGACCGCCCAGAGGTCGTTCGTGTCTGCATTCCCGTACGCGTGCGAATTCAGATAGTCGTTCAGCCCGCTTTTCAGAACGTCCTCGCATAAAAAGCCCTCAAGCATGTTGAGAATGGAAGCGCCCTTACTGTAACTAATGTCATCGAATATCGCTTCGATTTCGTTCGGGTCTTTAACCGGCACGCTAATAGGGTGGCTGCTGGCCAACGCGTCGAGATCGAGCGCCGGCTGGGTTTTGTCTAAGATAAACTGATCCATCATGCTCCACTGGGGCGAGATGTGATTCACCCCCTTGTACTCGAAGAAACTGGCCGCCCCCTCGTTCAGCCACAAATCGTTCCACCACTTCATCGTCACGAGGTTACCGAACCACTGGTGGGCCAGTTCGTGAGCAACGACTATGGCCACCCATTCGTGAGCGTAGGTTGACGTCTCTTGGGGATCGTACAGTATGGACGTTTCCCGGTACGTGATTAGGCCCCAGTTCTCCATCGCGCCAGCGGCGAAGTCCGGAATAGCTATCAAGTCTGGCAGAAACATTTCGTCAGATTCCCGTAGTAGTACGTCGAGAGACAGTTTCAGTATTCTCTCTCTCGTTCAAGCAACTGACCTTGCTTAGGCAGCGGGTAACGCACTCCGAAGAACGACTCGAAGTAATCCATTATACGAGCAGCCGTGGTCACCGCGTATTTCGCCTGCGGGAGCATCGCCTCTGCCGCGTACACGCTCACGGAGATGTTCCTCTTCGTCAGCTCGGAAACGCGTTTGAAGTCGCAAACGACGAACGCCACCAGGTACGTCGACATCTCGACAGACTCTTGAAAATCGTCGCGAAGCTGAAAATACGTTTGGCGCGTGTAGATATTCCACACTGAGATTTTAACCCTTTGCCCTCGAGAAACCTTTTTTTTTTCTATCATCCGTCTATCAGCAATTTACGAAGCATCACTTTGTAAATAAAATAATGTGACATTGGAAATGGTCGTTCAAATGGCATTTAACCTTTCACGCTGTCCAGAATATTTTGCAATATTTTCTTAGTTTTAAGTATATTTGTAATATACAAATCATTATATATATATATATATGTGAATTATATATTTATAATATACAAATGATAAGTTTATTATTTCTTAATAATTGATATCATATCGACGAGTTCAAAAAGAAAGCGACGAATTATTGTGTACGGTCCGGTCACTCTTTATGGTCCGCGCGCCAGTTGCCAGCGCAAGATGTTAACACGAAATTTTGTTGACAGTATCTTTCTAACGTGCGATGTCGTTTAAATTAAAAATTGCTAGAATATACAAGTACAATATACAAGGGTTAACGATACATAGTTTCAATCTCTGGAAGAATAATGTCCTTCGTCATTTTTTTAAACTTTCGTTTTAAGAAGCAACGAAAAGTCTAGTCTTACGCGACTCTGAAGAACTGTCTTCAGAAATTTCTTCGTTCGTTCTTCTTAGCTTAACTGTTCAGCTATTATACATCACATTCGTTATCAGCAAATTATAAAAAAGAGAAAGTCCTCAGAACAGTCGAGTGCAAAGGGTTAACTTTGAACCTTCTATTCGAGCTTGAATATACACACACATATATATATACTCACAAGTCCCGTGCCCATGTAAAATCCGGCGTCCTCGGTGTTCATTACAGGCATATTGCACAGCGCGATATGAAATCTGTCCCTGAATATCGAGACCTTAAACTTTGCTTTGAACTGCGGCTCGTCGAAGCACGGGAACGCCGAGCGTGCGTACGTCGGCTCGAAATGAGTGGTCGCGAGGTACCTAAGGGGTGGAAAAAGCACACAGTCACCATCTCTCGTCCCCCTCCGGGCGATGAAAACGCGCCTTGAGCAATTTTTCCTCCAAACAGAGAATTATTACAGTTTCAGAGTGACCTCTTTTCTCCTTCCGGGGTGACGTAGCTGCTGAGATAGAACCCCTCGAGTTCGCTCGTCAACTTCGAGATGAACCTCAGGTGCACCGTGTAATTCCCTCTCTTTCGAAATTTACTCTCCTCCAGCTCCAGATACAGCTGTTGGTGTTTCGGATATTCCAGCAACTTGGCGATTTTTAATCTGTGGCCTTTACGGTCTTGAACCATCTGGAAATCAACATTAAACGTTAGTCTCTCGTTTCCACAATGGCGGAATGAAATACTTTGAAATTCACTGTAGCGCTTTCAGGCGCTTTCACGTACTCACTTTCTCATTTATTGTCAAATTTTTACTATGGAAGACGATATAGTTGGTCTCTCTGTCGACGTAGAACTCGATCGTGACCTGTCCTGAAAATCGAGATTACGCAGGATTATTTTCGTTCTCTCGCCTCCCTTTGAAGAATTAAATCGTAAAACAATTACCAAGCTCGACGATCGAGCCCCAAAATTCGAAATTCGATTAAGCAATTGCATCGATGTGCTACGTACCTTTTACTTCTAAAGTGGTGAGGTTCGGATGGATGGTGATGTTGTATCTAGTAGGATGCGCGAATGTAGGTAGCCTCACGTTGTTCCAAGGAAACACCTGTAACAGCGCCCGTTTAATGAAGTTTATTTTTAGACTGTTAATTAACCGGGTTACAACGGAGCGCACGTCTCCCTTGTCTTCAATGTCAGCGCGCATGCATGCATTTCTTCTGTGTAACGGGTAATTAAATATGAACGATCAACAACGCGAGCAGGTTTTCGTGTCTATAGATAACGCGGTGACGCCTCGCGATTGATTTCCCGCCAAGATACTTTTTCGTAGCTCGTCCGCGGAAAAGCTTTGAACGAAGACTCGGGCGCAAGCATTGAAACGCGACACACAAAAGTAGCACATACCGACATATGTACTTTGCATACGTACATGACGTACGTATCTATTTTGCATATCTGTACGCCCTAATTTCTTTTCTTTTCCCTTTCTGGCGTACGACAGCTGACGTTGAACCGAGATAAATAAATTTCAAACGTAAAAATTTCGAAAATCTCACGTGAGATATTTAAATTATATTTAAATTATATTTTTATATTTCAATTATATTTAAATTATATATTTAAATTATTTGCACGAGAGTGCTGTAATTTGTAAAGCTAATGTAAATGTCAGTATACAGGTTAATCGTGAAACTGCAATATAATTTAATTTAAAAAAACTTGCGTTTATTGAAACACAAAGTGACGTGAGAATTTATCTAGACAGTGCTTATCTGAAAAATACTGATCCGCGTCTTCTTTACGATGAACACAAAGCTCGAGAAAGTGCAAAACAATCGATAATCCGCGCGAAACAGAGACACAACGTTCGAGTCATTTATATTTATTGCCCGACAATTATTGTTTAAAGCTACGTTGGATACGGGAATAACATTGATCAGTTTTGCATTATTCATTGTACCATTCGAGAAGTCGTACGAGTACATACGCTCGTTATTACTCGTGCATTATGTCTGGAATATGTGTTACGAAAGTACATGTTTCGTTCCAGTTTGGCATTACGATCGTATAGCCAGCAGAGAGAGAGAGAGAGAGAGAGAGAGAGAGAGAGAGAGAGAGAGAGAGAGAGAGAGAGAGAAAGGGGGAAGGAAACACGAATAATCATACATACCTCTCCATTAGTTGCAAGAGGCTCGCTGCTTTTTTCATCGTCCTCGATTTTTAGATTCGGTGGCTTCTCTCCAGCGCAAGGGCAGTCTATTAAAAACGAAAAAAAAAAAAAAGAGAAAGCCAATAATGAGCCAATGGTGGTAATTTATACGGAAATATAAAATTATTATCATTATTTATATATATATATATATGTAATATCAAGGAAACGTTACACTACCATTTTGTGGTCCCGCAAAGGCAATGATGAGTGATATGGCGAAAAGGATCGCAAAGACAACGGTAGCTACGCAGAGAGCCCTTTTTTGTGAACACACGATTCCATTGTGCTCGTAAATACTACGTTTGTGCAATCCTGTGTTACTGTCTCCTGGAACAAAGGGTCTCCTGAAGAATGATCCAGCCTAGGGGATGCACGCGCATCGTTCTCGATCCTAAAGCATGAGGGGATTTGTTTTGACAACGCGGGGGGTACACGTCGCGCGCAAAATATACGGAGAGATCGAGGGGGGGGGGAGGGGGAGTTTAATTTTTTACTGAAAAATTAGGCGAGAAAACTGCGAGATTCGTCCACCAAACGCGAAGTGAAACAAGCTCCTCTCTCTCTGTCCTCGGTTACACACTTGACCTAGATTTTTGTCTGAGCGACAGTCGACAGTGACGTTAATGCAGTTACTCTGGCAAAACACGTGAAACACGCCGCGAGCGTGTTTTTATTGCCGACTCTGTTACATTTGAATGACACGATGGCGATTAATTGGCAAGAGGGTCGAATGAAATTCATCGACAACCAGGCAAGTGAAACGAAAGAAGAATCCACATAGAAGTTGTTTGAACAAATGCGGCTTTGTCTACGCGATACTTGGCATTGTATCGTATTTTACGCGGCGATCGACAACGACAGTCAAACAGATCTCTGTCGATCGGTTGACGAAACGAGACGACACTCACGGTAGAAAGAATCGCCTCGAGCGATGCGTGCTTTAATTTGAAAGATCAGAAGCTTCTCCCTTATTGATCGCACGCACGTGCTCCTCGTACAGTGCTATTCGTAGCCCGGAGGGTCGTAAGTGGGCCATCTGGTCGAACGGCTCCAAAGGAAAAGGAGCGAACCGCGTGCAGAAAAAAGAAAGAGAGGGAAAGTAAGAGGAGGAAGATAGGAAAAAGGAAATCGAGGAAAGGAAAAGGGGGAAAAGAAAGGGGCGACGAGGTAGGGGTGGCTACCTAGACAGAGGTGAGAGAATCTAGAATCCCACCCTCCCGAAAATGAATTCTATCGAATTGTGCCTCTCCTTCTGACCTGTGTGTCTCTCACCTGTCAGAAAGGCAACGTCATCCACATCCTGCTCGCTCATCGTGAACCGATTCGGCGGCGGTCTCCGACGAACGATTTCTTTTACCTGACCGTCGTTCGTAGCATATAAGATTTTGATCAAGGGCTCTCTCTGTTCAGCCAGAATTCGGGCGTTCGTGCTCGTGGCTGTGTCTGCTTCGGCTGGTGGTTACTTTCGTTGATACACACCGTGTCGGGCTCGAGTGTCAAGGTCAAGGAATCACTGGAGGAAGACTGGCAGATTTACCTACTGGCACATCGGAGAGGCTTGCGGTTACTCTAGGCCGAACCTTCTTCCCTTCTGCCCTTGTTTTTCTCTTCTTCTTCTCTTTTCTCTCTCTCTCTCTCTCTCTCGCCGTTCGCGTTTAGCTCGGCGCTTAAAGGCGCTTAACAGTCGGCAGAAGCGAGCTTGCTCGTGTAGGTGGACGACTGGCAATTGCGGAAACGGCGAGCAGCGAGCACGAGCACGAGCACGAGCACGAGCACGAGCACGGGAACAGGTACGGGCACGGGCACGGGCACAGGCACGGACACGAGCGAGACCACAAACACGAGCACGAGCACGAGTAGGAGCACGAGCGCGAGCAACGGCGCGAGCACGAGCACGGGCACGAGCACGAGCAGAACCAGGAAACCGAGTAGGAGCGCGGCCAACGAGGTGCCGAGGACCCGCGACAACGTGACGATGCACGAGCTCACCAAGTCACCGAACAACAGCTCGACAACGTCGGCGAGTCTATAACGCGCGACGTGTCTTGACATTTCATTGGCATTAAAGCGTGAATATAGCGACTGCGGAGTTAGGCAGAAATGGCGACTTTCCAAACCCCTTGGTGGCGGATCGCTTTACGGGGGTGAATTTGCAGCTCTCGCCACGCCGCACCTCGCTTCGCCTAGCCCCGTCGCAGCGCGGGGGTGGCCTGCCTCTCGCCTTTACTGTGGCGCCATCCGTGACCCACCCTTCACAGTGATTCCTACTCGACTCTGGCCGTTTTATTTCCACGCTTGGGTTGGTAAGAAGATTCTCTACCATTTCTCCCCTCGCCCGTTCGTTTCACCCTCTGATTCTTCCTTAAACTTTCAGCTCGCCCCGGCCCTGCACGCGTATGCGTGTTTTGTTCCTCCAGGAAACATCCTCCCACGAAATTTTGTGTCTTGCTTCGGTCATTCCTCAACCATTGTTCTGTCGTTGAAATATCCGTCGATGGAACGTTCGAATTCATCCCGTAGATTAGAGATTAACATTGTACTGTTTCTTTTTTACAGTTGAACAGTTCGTGTAATCTGGCAAAGGGTCTTTTAGTGACAGAGATAATATAAATACTGTTTCGATTAATTGTACTGTCCCTTTTTTCATGGTTGTACAGTTGACGCTCGATAGTGAAATGATAATCTAACGACGCGTTTTTTAATAACAGAGATAATTTAAATACTGCTTCGATTAATTATACTGTACTGTCTCTTTTTTACAATTTTACAGTTAACGTTCGATAATGAAATGATAATCTAACAGAGATAATTTAAATACTGTTTCAATTAATTATATTGTACTGTTTTTTATAATTGCACAGTCAACGTTCGATAGTGGAATGATAATATAGCGACACGTTTTTTAATAACAGAAATAATTTAAACACTGTTTCGATTAATTATACTGTACTGTCTCTTTTTTACAATTTTACAGTTAACGTTCGATAATGAAATGATAATCTAACAGAGATAATTTAAATACTGTTTCAATTAATTATATTGTACTGTTTTTTATAATTGCACAGTCAACGTTCGATAGTGGAATGATAATATAGCGACACGTTTTTTAATAACAGAAATAATTTAAACACTGTTTCGATTAATTATACTGTACTGTCTCTTTTTTACAATTTTACAGTTAACGTTCGATAATGAAATGATAATCTAACAGAGATAATTTAAATACTGTTTCAATTAATTATACTGTACTGTTTCTTTTTTATAATTGTACAGTTAACGTTCGATAGTGAAATGATAAACTAACGACGCATTTTTTAATCACAGAGACAATTTAAATATTGTTTCGATTAATTGTACTCTACTGTTTTTTTTTTTTTTTTACAATTGTACAGTTAACGTTCGATAATGAAATGGTACTCTAACAGAGATAATTTAAATACTGCTTCGATTAATTGTACTGTACTGTTTCTTTTTTATAATTGTACAATTAACGTTCGATAGTGAAATGATAATCTAGTGACGCGTTTTTTAATAACAGAGGTAATATAAATACGATATAATTTTTCATATGCCTCAAATTTGGAGGTCGCGGAAATTTTAGTAAAACTAAAAAGATTAGTAAAGCTAAATTAGTAAAATTAGCACGACCAGATCAGTGAAACTAAAGAAATTACTATTTGCCTCTGGTACGCAGTAAAATTATATACGTACGTACATCAAAGAATTGTTTTCGAATAAATTTTCCTCGTGATTCATTATTGGCAAATGTTTTAACTCGTGTTCCTCAGGGTCGCGGAAATATTCGTTCAGGGGTACAAAGTGAAAATGCTCGAGAAGTCCAGCTTCACGCTGAAATTCAAACACTCGAATGCAAACAATAGAAACATTACACGCGACAGAGTTTTTCTTTGTGGAAGATGGATTTTCGTTCTAGTTTACTACGCGACACGATTACTTTACAATGCCATTGAGAACGGCGCGAAGTATCGGCACTTTGGCATTCGACACGAGGGGAACTACACGCGTGATACGTCCGAGAACTCTCATTTTTGCATACGTTTAAAGAACACGACGGTGTACACAAGCCCCATGAATATTCAACGCCTGTTTTGCATTTACTTCGCTCCCTAGACCTAATGAAACCGGTTTAATCGTCATCGTTATTGTCGAACCACTGTCTGTCGAACAACGCCATTAAAATTTGAAACGAAGAAGCATCTGTCTGTTTCGTTGCGACAAAAGGGCGTCTGCAAGTGTTCGAAACACTGGTTGTGTATTTCGATGCATGTCGCGCGACTGTAATAATTTCAGTCAAGCTTCCCGAGTTGGAACGAGATGGAAAGCTGACGTTAACAAGAAACCAGTGCGAAATCGATGCAAGAATCTACCTAGATGGGGGTGGAGGGAAAAGGAAAAAGAAAAAAAAAAAATTGGAACACGTCCGCGTGCAAACGCGAGCCACGGACGGTTATAAATAAAAATCCTGTCCTTCGTATTAGCGATTATAGAACTCGCGGAGGAGGGCCACTTGGAAGTTTTCTCAGTTCGTGGTATGAACGAGTGTGCTCGAACCGACGTTCGAATTGTCGAAAGTTCAATATCCTTGACGGGCAAAGTCTCCGCTGAATGCTGACAATGGCATTCAAACGAGAGAAAGAGAGGACATTTCCGCTTCTTCGTCGCTGGCTTTTGACCTACGATCGAAACTACCCGGTGTTCGAGATACGGAATTTCTATATAAAATATCGAGGCCGATACCTCGATTGTTTCGCCACCGGGGAAACGGCATGTAAGAAAAATATGAAGGTTAGCAGGAGGAGAAATATTAGACATAACGCGACTTCAATTTTCTTCGTCACGTTCGTGGTAAAAATCATGCATTCGCAATGTGAATTATACAATAACTCTTGCTTCTTCAAATGGATTTCGCAGAATTGGAGTAGTTTCGTAATTGAATAACGAAATTAACTTTCCGTCTTAACCTCTTGCGCTCGAATGACGCACGTCGAGAGAATTTTCTGTTCCTAAATTTGGCAACATTTTCTCAGTTTTAAGTATATATATTTAAATGGGCAAAACGAATGATAATTTTTATTACTTCTTAATCATTTCTATCCTATCTAGTGATGCCATCACCGACGAGCACGAGAGGAAAAGACGGTTTCGCGACGAATTATTGCAATACGGCTCGGTCACTCGTTACGGTCCGCGAACCAGTTGCCAGCGCCTAGAGGTTAAAGCTTTCGTTCCTCAATTTAAAATTACCCTTTTCAATCGATAAATCGATTCCCTTACGTAATAATAGCAAGCGTGGTTAATTATAGGTATTGTTCTCTGTTATAGTGTTTAAAAATATTTAAAAGACCCGTAGTTATACATAGATACGATAGGTTGGGCTAGGGTTGCGTACGGTGTGTACGTCAGAATTATAAGGTCAATTGAGCAAAGTGATAAAAAGAGTGTTTTTTTTATTCGCTCAACACACACACACACACACACACACACACACACACACACGAAAATACACACACGATGTGTGTTTAATCCCATTTCCTTCTTTCAAAATAAAGCTTTAATATTGTAACAGGTCTTCGATACAAATACAGTCAGTTGATCTTTTACCTTCTGGATAGAAAATTAACTGTTCTGACGTATCGAATATCGAATTCACGATCCCTACGTTGCTCCTGAATCTTTCACAACCTCCTCCGCCGCGTGTAGGCCCGTACGTGTAAACTCGCGAGGAAAAAGTATATTTTCGAGCTCCACGTTCCAGGGCACGAAACTCATCAATATTCGAATGATCCACGTCGAAAGGTGGACGACTTTCTAAGAAACAAACCTGCGCGCGTTAATGCGAAACGGGTCACAAGTTCAAAAGTTCAGGTATCTATAAACGTTCCGATTCTATCGATATTGACCAGATTTGGGGAAACGGGTTTGTTCGCTGGAATATGTATCGCGGGCTCGACCAATTTAAGAATATTTTCATGATTACTAGCCGGTCTCACTACTTGACTCGCCGCGTCACCCTGGGTGACAGTCAGGTTTCCACTGGGACCTTTCAATTTTTGTGGCAAGAATAACGTTTAGCAGAAAAACGAGTTTTTTTGGCAGTAAATTATTTTGACGTTGAACCAAACAACCAACGTAACAATAACATAGTAAATTGTTAAATTATTATTTTATTATTGTGATTACTGTATATGTATATTTATTATTTATTATTGTTACCAACGTAACAATGAGATAGTAAATTATTAAATTATTATTTAAATTTAATTTATATTTATATTTATATTAAATTTATATTATATTAAATTTATATTATATTATATTATATTATATTAAATTTATATTTATTATTATTACCAACGTAACAATAACATAATAAATTGTTAAATTATTGTTTTAATATTGTTATTACTGTGTATGTATATTTATTATTTGTTATTGTTACCAACGTAACAATAACATAATAAATTGTTAAATTATTGTTTTAATATTGTTATTACTGCATATGTATATTTATTATTTGTTATTGTTACCAACGTAACAATAACACAGTAAATTGTTAAATTACTATTTTATTATTGTTATTACTGTATATGTATATTTATTTTTTGTTATTGTTACTAATGTAACAATAACATAGCAAATTGTTAAATTATTATTTTAATACTGTTATTACCGTATATGTATATTTATTATTTGTTATTGTTACCAACGTAACAATAACACAGTAAATTGTTAAATTACTATTTTATTATTGTTATTACTGTATATGTATATTTATTTTTTGTTATTGTTACCAATGTAACAATAACATAGCAAACTATTAAATTATTATTTTAATATTGTTATTACTGTATATGTATATTTATTATTTGTTATTGTTACCAACGTAGCAATAACACAGTAAATTGTTAAATTATTATTTTATTATTCTTATTTCTGTATATGTATATTTATTATTTGTTATTGTCACCAACGTAACAATGACATGGTAAATTGTTAAATTACTATTTTATTATTGTTATTACTGTATATGTATATTTGTTATTTGTTATTGTTACTAACGTAACAATAACATAGTAAATTGTTAAATTATTATTTCTTTAAGAAATCGAAACCACGTAAAAATACGTAACACAGTCGTTTGTGATATGTTTGAAAATGTTTTGTAAACGAAGTTAACAGAGATTTAGGAACCTCTACACCCGAGGTATGCAAAAACTGAAGGGAACGTTCATGTCGTTCAACTGAACAAAAGGAATAAAAAAACAAAAATACAAAAACTGAAGGGAACGTTCATGTCGTAAACTGAACAAAAGGAATAAAGGAACAAAAACATAAAAAAAAAGTGCACAAAAATAACAAAATTAACGAGCGAGCTATGAGAGCAACCTACTCGATTTGCGACTTGGGGGATCAACGCCGTTAATGGCGAAAGTTGTGCTCCGCAGACAGGCAACTATGTTTCGTTCTCACTTCATGGATTGTCATTTCGCGCGCGTCTGACAGTCTGTCGCGTTTTACAATGAAAGTCATTGGAACGTAGGTTTCGTCGGGTCATTACTTGGAAGGAAATTCGAACACAGAGAAGTGGTTCCGCCGTGTTCCGACCGCGGAATTGTGAAACAGCGGGGCGCGGCCTTTCTTTTTTTCCCTCTCGCCGCGTGTCAATGAAATTTCAGGTTAAGAGTCCGCGCGTCTGGTGTCGTAACGGAGGGTTGGCAGTAAGTTGCTCGCTCTCGTTAAAGAGAGCAGCGAACGAAGCATTTTCAATGCGCGCGTGTGCTTGGGACTTTTGCTACTCACCTGAGTTTATCGGCACCTCGGTGGTGGTGTTGGCGGTCCCGTTTTGCCCGGGACTCCGCGAACTCGAGGTTCTACCTAGAGGCTCCATCCGGATCGCCTCGCTGCTCTCTCGCGTCGAGGTCCCCCCTGGCATTTTGCTCTCCGCCCTCCGCCGCCCACCACCTCGTTTATCCCGGCGAGCTCGCGAGTTGCAGTTCTCCGCCGGAAGATACACGGTTCCTTGGCTCACCCTGTTTCCTCCCTGACTCCACGCGAATTACATTCTTCGACGTTGCTGCCTTTCAACAGCCTGCCTTTCTTCTTTCTCTCTCGTCCGTGTCAACGGGTCGAGGAATTTTCATGCCGGCTCTCGAACCTCCTCCTCTTCCTAACCTCGTGTCACGCTCCTTTCTATCTGATACAATTCATTTTACTCGCGCTGACATTTGGTCCCCACGGTCACAAAGCGTGTCGTCGAATAGATGGTGCTCGTGTCATCCGAGATACGATCCAAGCTTTCGCGGTCGTTAGAAAATCGTTAGGACAATGCTCGTATTTACAAATGCTCGTGACTTACAAAAAGTGATAGTCTATTGATTGTTTCGGTGAGATTCGAACTCCGCCCCTCCCCCTCCGCCCCCCCCCTTTTCCGGGCAGTGCACGTGGATGAACTCTCCACTCCTCCGAGTGATCGATCTTACACTAATTACTTTCGTAGCGTCAGCGCCGAGTATATTATCGTTCTGCTGTAGCTCTACTGTAGTTTCTTGCGATTTATCCTTCGAAGGGCGATAAGATCAAGTTCACCCTCTCGTCAAGCTCTGCGCGTACGCGTACGCGCGTTCCAGGGTCCCGAGTAACAAGCAGTCGTCGAAATTTGCAAATCAAAAGTTATTATCTTAACGTTAGATCAATTTGTCTTTTTGTTTAATCCTAATAAGCGACGGTTGGTTTCTGGCTTCGATTGTTGGCCGACGATGAATGATCAACAGCTTTCTCGCAGGATCGTGAGATATTCCCTCAGCGTACCGTCACACGTGGTATCTGAAACAAAATAAGCACGATTTATACTATACGATTTCCCGTGAATTTCGAACGTTCCTGCAGAATATTCTGCACGATCCAATTTTGTGTCACCTTTCCTTTCTCGTCTTCTGCCGACAATGGAGCCAAACGTTTAGACGTTGCTACTGACTTTATCAGGCGTGTGTAATTATAAAACATGGCCGGCGTAATAGGTCGGAGCGATCGTACGTGTGCACGCTCGAAGCATATTTTACAAGGTTATTTTCGCAGCGGTAACAAAGCAAACAATTATATGCACCAGTGTCTCTGCTGTTTTTTTACATCCTTCTGTTCAGCTGTTCCCTGAAGCGTACTTAAAAACAAAAAAAAAAAAAAAGAAAAAGAAAAAAAGAAAAAAAGAAAAGAAAAGAAAAGAAAAGAGAGGAAAGAAGGGATAGACACG